GGTGCTTGATTTAGAACTAGATTCTTTGCCTTTCCTGTATTGTTTCCTAATTATACTAAAGTTCCTTCCCATTAAAGTCTCATATGTTTTGTGTTGATGCTGCGGATGGCAGGACCTATGTAGAGCAGGCAGGTTTGTGGAGGCTGGGTTGCCCCTCTCTCTACCCTGAAACAAAAGCACTCCAGAGGAGGTACTCTGCACAGCCCATGCCAACTTCCCAGAGTCAGCCCTGCTGGCAGGTGTCAGCACCCAGACGACCGTGGCTACAGCCACTTCCCCTCGGACCCTCATCAAAGGAGATGTGAGTAGGATCTGCCCTGCTCTAGCACCCCAGCCCCGTGCTCAAGAGCACAGGCAGCCAGGAATGCATTTCAGTTTCCTCAAGTCAGGACACACAGTGTTACAGGGCAGGGAGAGGGACGCCCCAGACCCCGCAAACCTGCTTGCCCTAAATAGGTTCTGCCATCCACGGCATCAACACAAAACATATGAGACTTTAATGAAAAGGAACTTTAATACAATTAGTAAACAATACAAAAAAGGCAAAGAATAGAGTTTCTAAATCAAGCACCCAAAGTGACCCATCCCCTCGTGGGTAAAAGTCCACCCAAATGGGATTGGCCCAGAGCAAGGCCCCAAAGCCTGCCCCAAGTCTAAAGCACCTTCCAGTGGGGACCCACAGAAAAGAATCAGAAACAACCAGACAAGCCTGGAGGGAAAAGAGAAAAATCAAAATCAAGACAAAAACCACCATTGTCACCTCCCCATGGGGCTCACCCACATCTGTGTCACCCAGTCCACGACCAAAAGGCAAGTGTGGTTTTTTCTTTTTTCTTTTTTAAAGATTTATTTATTTATACATACAAGCACTGGGTACAGTCAGAAGCACGGGAGGGTGAGAGAATTCACCAGAGCCAGAGCGGGGAGCAGAGCAGGCAGAAGGACCGAAGCACACTGCTGAGGGGAGCAGCGGGCGGCAGGAGAGGTCTGCGCGCCATGTGGGACCCTCCTCCAGTGGCCGGGGAGCAGCCGGGGATCGAACCGGCGCTGCAGAGGCCGCGGGCAGCTTCGCAACCCAGCGCTCAACCGCTGCGCCACCTAGTGTGGTTTTTTTCACGTGTCTCTCTGCTCCATGTGCCTCCTCCAGGTCTCCTTCTGGCTCCATCCTGCTTCCTTTCTTCCTCAGTCTCCTCTGCATCTTCTTCTCTCCCTGCTCAGCTCCACCCTCCCTTGGGTGGGGCAGGAAACCTGGAACCTCCCCCTTTCCTGGGGACCACCCTGTTACAACAGGACTGAAAGAGCCAGCGCCCATGTCAATCCTGAAGAACGCACCATGCCTGGAGGTGGTTCTGGTTCTGCTGAACTGCCGAAGTTGGAGCCAAAGAGTAAGGATGGAAATTGGGATAATAGGACGTGAAATGAAGCCCAGGTTACAAAGTAACCCATCACTGGTCGTGGAAAGGACAAAGCCTCAAGTATTCCCAAACTGACCAACATCTCTTCTCCAGTCCTGCCAAATCTGACATCGCCCTGTCCACGTTCTTGTCCAACACGGCACACACAGACCTGAATGACCTCGTCTTGTGCAACACATGCCAGGTGCTCCCTTTTCAAACACGGTGGAGCAGTGGAGAACCCGGAATTTCCCAACAATGTTCAGCCAAAAAACCCAGGATTATCCTTGATCCCGCCCTTCCTCTCACTTCTCACACCCCATCCACCTGTGCGGGTCCTGCCAGCTCAGCTCCAAAACATGCCCCAAATCCATCCTATTCTATCTCCACCTCCACTGCCAAAACCCTCAGCCAAGCCACGGTCATGTCTTAGCTGGGTCACTGCAGTGACACTTAACCGCCCCTTGCCATGCTCCTTGGACACGCTTCCCCCCCCCACCACCCCCCGCCACTTTCCAGACAGCAGAATAAATGCTCCTCATCACACATAAATCAGATCACATCGTCCGAACGTTCAAAACTCTCCTGTCATATCCAGATCTAAGTGCAAGCTTCTTGCGCGCCCTGGAGAGCCCCATCTCTCCACCGTCACCACTGCTCTCTCTTGTTGGCCAAAACCTGGGGGCGGTGGGGTTCTGCACCTCCGACTCACCGTCAGGTTGCTTATACACACTCTGCCCACAACTCTCTTTTCCTGCATTTTCTATTGCTATTTCCTCACTGCCTTCAAATTTATGTTTCTGATGACACATTTAAAGATTGCATCGTAGAATAACAGTTCGAAAACAGCCTTCATCCGTGTGTCCCTGCCCCATCCCAACTACCTGACTCCTCATGTTACCTTCTTTTTTCTCTTTTCACTTGGCACTGAGCACTGTCTAAAATGACCTAGCATGTGGAGGTGCTTACCTGTTTCTGTTTAGTCTCCCTTCATTAGGATACAATCTCTCAGATCATAGACCTTGCCTGTCTTGTTCAAGACTGTCTTCAGAACCTGGCACTGTGTAGCTGCTTATGCAACCATCCCATGCCAGGAAGCTTCACTGTCAGCTCTTGCAGACAGAGAAAGAATTTGGGGGCCTTCTGCGGATTTTGTATTCGTTTAATGCTGAGACAGGGACCCCATACACAGGTAGGCAGACAGAGCACGAGGCAGAAAGGTAACTCCCTGCCTAGCCCCTTTACACTGCTAAGTGTCCACAGCCACACCACCAATACATTGCTGCAGATGCAAGGCCCATCTGTTGTTTGCTAGATGTCCAATGAGGAAAACAGACCAGATCAAGGTATGAGATATCTGTTGTGGGGAAAGTGAAAAATAGCTTGATTTACTCATTTTCCTAACTCTGCTCAATAAATATTTGCTGAATGAAAGAGAGAAGCTATAACTCACCACCCATGTTTTAAACTTGGAATATATAGAGAGTAAGAAGACAAAGGAAAATCAGAAAGTGGGAAGGGAACAGTCATATTTCCTAAGTGCCTACAAGGGTCGAGCATGATGCCTCAATGCATTTTGTGCCACAGAACAATGACTGTGTTTGCTGAAACTATGTTCTGCTGATTTAACACACACACACACACACAATTGCGCTTAATGCATCCATGGATCCTATGAGGTAGATATTAGTGCCCCCATTTTAACAGAAAAGGAGAATGATAACTGTCAAGTAACACAAGCCAGTCAATCTTCTGAACAGCAGGGGACGGTGCTTGAACAGAGAGATTTTTTCCCTCCCACCACTGGATACTCTCTCTGAGATTCACTACCTTAACCTCCTTGCACTTTCTCCTTCAAAAAATTAGATGACTGCCTGGGCTCTGACCTAGTTTGTGGCAACATGGCCAAAGGCACTAAGAAGGTTGGGATCATTAGTAAATATCACAATCACAAATATCACAAATAACCTGAGCAGACTTTCTCCCTAAATCATGACTTTCAACAATAGTTCTCATTTTTCAGAGATCCTTACCCAAAAGTAGCTTCTACCAGTTCAGTCAGGGTTAATACACCTGCATCAGCTACATACTGGCTATTCAACAAATACTGGCTAAGTGGATGTAGGAATGTAAGATAGTAAGAACAGGTGCACAAGGATAAAAGCAGAGAAATCACCAGGGCAACGTATATGGAAAATGGAAAGAAAGGAAAGGAAGCAACTTCTAATGCTAGAGAATACAGGCTTGGGTGGGGAGAGGCACTAATGCCATAGTGCATGGTGAATAGACAAAAAACACAGTTCTGGGCCTCCCTGGTGGCGCAAGGGGTTAAGCACCACACTATGAAGCAATCTGCAGCCTCTGCAGGACGAGTTTCATCCCGGGCCAGCCAGGGAGCAACCCACGTGGCTCTCCTGTCGCGCCCTCTGCTCCCCTCAGCAGTGTATTTCAGTCAGTCTGCCTGTTCTGTTCCCTGCTCTGTCTCTGGTGAATCCTCTCACCCCTGCATCTCTGGCCTATACCCCAGCTCTTGTATGAACAAATAAATAAATCTTTTTTTTAAAAAAAAAAAGAAAACAATTCTTCTCTCCAAATCAGATACTCGGAAAGAAACAACTGAGATGAACCCCATTTGTAGGGTAACTTCAGGAAACTAATTGGAGTCACACATCAATCCAACATCACAGTTCTTTAGAGCGACCTGTGGAGATAACCCTCTTGGAGGCCCTTCCTAGGCTGGTTTGTAACCTGTGGCTGAACCAAAGACTGTCATAAGTGACACCACCTGGAAGGGGGTTGTAGGTTAAATGGTTTTTCAGGATTTTCTGCCCTCCCACCATTAGGATTGCCCTGCCTGATGGGGCACCTGCAGTTGTTAAATTGTTGCAAACTGTCTTATTTACTTCTGTGGGCCGTGGGAGGAGTGTTGAGATAGTCACCAAGAGTAGAGAAGCAGAGAGGCAGGAGAGAGAAGGGAGAAAGCAAGCTAGAAGGGAGAGCGAGAAGCCCAGAGTGAAGACTTGTCTGGGGCTTGGAGGTCTACCTGCCTCCTGGACCCCTGCCTGCCGTATACCTGTTTGCCACACTACATGTAAAGCTTAATAAAAGCCTGAGAAACCCACCAAGAGTTCCCAGGACGCCTCCTTTACCTGCCTGCGGATCATAGATAGCCTGCACTGTGCCTATCCTGCCCCTACAGGAGCGCCCCAGGGAAAATGTGAACAAACTATCAGTGGGGGTGGAGACTCTGATAAGAAACACAAAGGACTACAGAAGCTGCCTCCTGCAATCGGAGTTCAGGATTTCAGCATTTTAGGATCTTCAGCCTTTCCCAGGTCAGGAATTTCTGCCCCAATCATGCCAATCTTCCAGAAGGCTGTTGTGGGCCTTGAAGGATGTGGAGAGGCTTCCAGTAGCCCACGTCAGAGAGGAAAAGTTAAGAGGTTTTGCAGGTAGCCAAGAGACTGAAACTGTTCCTGGTTCTGCTGTTGTTACAGGCTGGTGGAGAAAGCTAAGACCCAGAGCCGGGCCCCTTGCTGAGCTGTGAGTGTGGCCCTTTATTGGGTAGTTCGGCAGCTGCAGCTGCTGCTTTGAGTGTCGCTTGTCTGGTGCTGCGCTGGGGCATCTCGGCAGCTCAGGGAGCATCTCCTGTTGTGTCTTCTGCTGTCTTCGTGAGTTGGCTCCCGGCCTATAGTCTGGCTGCCGTGTGCTGCAGGCCCTCAGTGTTTGTGTTGAGGACTTTAAAACACTGGATACTGCTTCAGGTGAGAGAAGCGGCCATTTGGGGCCTCAGTAACTCTTTGTTTTTCCCTGGTGTGTTAAATAAATCCCATTACTGTTGTTCTCTGAAACTGAGTAGACTTGCAATTATGTGCGTGCTGGTGAAGAACTCAGACAGTGAGCGACAAACTATTTGGGCAGTGTCCTTGGCCAGTTTCAGTGCCCCTTCCTGCTCTGTATCAGTTTCAACACAGTCCTGGAAACAATGATTACATTTACTCTAAATAGTGAAAAGGCAACTCTTTCCCTCGGAATTCCCCTTTTTCACCTCAAGAAGCTTAGCCTCAATGTCAAGTTCCTCCTAGGGTTTAATCTGGGGTGGCTAGGTCAGTACAGTCAGGGGCAGGGCAGGTAATACAAACACATGAATCAGGAAGACTTAGAGAGTAAGCAAAAGAGCATGCCTCATCCAAGGTCAATTAAACCCAAACATTATCAAGAGAAAAAAAACCCACCACACTCATTCTGCCAGCCCCCCCAAATTTGCCACCTCTTGTTAGAGCATCGAGACCTAGACCAGCAGTCACCATTCACCTCCATCAACAGTCCTGAAAGTACACTCAGTTGAGTCAGGCCTTGTTTTCTTTTGAATCAGGATGAGGAGGCAGATTTGAAGAGGAAGTGCTGAACCTGTTGCCATGAAGTACAGAGGGTGTCTCCCCAAGACACCCACCTGTTAAACTGTTTACTTTATCAAGAGTTTGGCCTAGAACTTGAAAGCATTGCTGATGCAATGAAATAGGCCTCAACCCAAACAGCAGCGTGTAGGCTGGGCCCATTAGGGTCCAAAAGGCTGCTACAAAGCATTCTTTAATATTCTGTTCCCTCCCACTCACAGGAACCCAGTGCTGGCCATTGGTAACATTTAAATTGTTCTCTGTACTTTGTGAGGAAAGTAAAAGAAAAGTTGCACCCGGTGCTTACTGATCTATCTTGAGTCCTGGAGTTCTCAATCCCAATAATCACAGAATCTAGAAATACTTGTAAATAACCAAGCCAATAGTCCCTCCCCCCATCTTCAAGCTAAATAATTCTAATCTATTAATGCAGGCAAAAAATCTGGACGCTTCCTTTGTGTGAAATTCAGGAGTTCACTTGATTTGGGATCCAAATTGTTCATTTAAAAAATGTGGCACTTATATCTGTTTACTGCTAAATGTTATTCAAATGGTTGACATCTGGTCTATTGTAAAATCCTATGTAATTTGAGTCCTGATTACAGTATATTATTGTCTTCCTCTGTCTTCTCTAGATAGGATACTCCTATAAATGCCTTCCTTTTTAATTTCAGGAAATTAGAAATTATTTGAACTTTTAAACTACAGGACAAATATAGATCAGGCTTGCTATCTTTTTGGGTCCTCATTTATCGGTGACATTTATTGAACAGCTACTGTGTACTGGCCACCATGACAGATGCCAGAAATTTAAAAATGAGTATAACAGGGCATTCAGCCTCTGCAAAATCCAGTAGAAAGAGAGTAGGTGGACATTGCTCACTGTTTATCTAGCAGTCATTCGCTCCTCAGCTCTTCCAAACAGAACTCTGGCTGAAGGATAAATCCATTTCACTTGTCAGTGATTGGGGAGGAAAAAATGAGCTTCTGGAAACTTTTCTTCTTTTTTTGGTCTTTGTTCATGTATTTTATGTCTGAAATTGCTGCATCCCATTCACTATCAGCATAAAGATGGAGCTGCATGGAGAGGTCCAGTCGGAGACTGAGATATGCTGGCTGAGAAATGTGCTGGGGATGGAGATTAAGGGAACTGAAAACCTGACCTCTGTCTGGGTCCTGGTTATGGCAGCCAATGATGTCATCATTTAAATCAATCTGAGTTGGGTTTCCTTGCACTTGCAAACAAAATGGTTTCATTTGTTTTGACGAACAGCTCTTACCATAAGCAGATCCATGGCTTACAGTATTTTTTTTTCCAGGATGTTAGTGACACATAATCCCACAAACATTGTATGGGTTTTGCATGAACTGTGTTTCTGCTTCTCAGGTAAGACCCTTGAATTTATTGGACACTTTCTCCTCTATCTTTTTCCTTTCTTTCTTTTTTTTTTTTTTACAGTGTTCCCTGCATTATTCCCAGCTATAAACTATAAACTTGAAACTATATCATGAGAAATGTATATCATGAGAAATGTAAGGTAGACTGTAGGGGCAGGAAGGCCACAGTGCAAGATCTGTATAATTACAGCAGACCAGATAAAGCAGAGTCCTGGAGCCCTCGGTGGATTTCTCGGGCTTTTATTGTGCTTTCACATGTAGTGCAGCGACTGGGGAGGGCAGGAGCAGGAGACCAACAGGCCTCCAAGCCCCCAGCAAGTCTTCACTCTGGGCTTCTCTGGTGGTCTTCTCTCTCGGCTTCTCTCTCCTGCTTCTGCTTCTCTTTGGGAATATCTCAATACTACTGCCATGGCCCACAGAAGCAAACACATAACTTATAACAATGTAACGAGCTGCAGGTGCCCCCTCAGGCAGAGCAATCCTAATGGTGGGAGGGCAGAAAAACCTGAAAATCGTTTACCCTACTTTGGAGAGTTTCTTAAAATAATAGCTTTTTGTAGGCATTTTTTCAGGTATACATTATTTTTCAATGAAAATATATTTAAGATTAAAACTTGACTGCATTCATCAGACAAAACTTAAGGGTAAATCAGCAAGACCATAGAGAATGGACACAAATAGAGAAGACAGTGTCTTCAAGGTGTATCATGGCTGTGAGTCATGGCTCTTTTTTTTTTTTTTAAAGATTTATTTATTTATGCATACAAGAGCTGGGATGTAGGCCAGAGGTGCAGGGGAGAGGGGGTTGGTGAGAGGATTCACCAGAAAGAGTGGGGAGCAGAACAGGCGGATCAACTGAAATACAGGCTGAGAAGAGCAGTGGGCGAGACAGGAAAGGTCTGCTGTGCCATGTGGGTAGCTCCCTGGCCGGGGGATTGAACTCATGCTGCAGAGGCTGCAGACTGCTTCATATGTTGTGTCTTAACCCCTTGCGCCACCAGGGAGGCCCCAACGTGCTGAATATTTTCAGTTGTGCTTTGAGACTCTGATAGTATTCACAGAATAAATATACAGGGACTCAACATTTCTCATTATGATCATACCACCTTGTATTTCTATGATACTTTTTGTTCTTTTGTTTATGCTACTTCTTTGCATGCATTATCACATTTTATTTTTCACTTCTCTGTGAGAGAGGGTACATCATCATACCAATATTAAAAGGTATGAAAAGTGAATACACCAAGAGCAAGAAAACTTGCAACTGGCAAATTTAAAAAAATGGACTTGACTTAAGCTTTCTGACTGCCAGTTAGTACCTTCAAAATAAGTTCTTGTAAAACTTATTTTACTTAGATTATGATGACACTGTACTTCCATATTAATATAACAATCATAGACATTTTAATGACAACACCCACATGACTTCTCTCTCCCCACATTGCTCAGCCTCCTGCTTTAAATACAATGTTCTCAAATATTCTAGGCCTTCTACCCTATGACCAGGAGCCAGTAGAGGGTGCCAGCATGAGCATCAAGGCAGAAGTCCTCAATGGTCAAAGGAAAGCATCTTGCTCTGACCGCCTTCTCTCCAACAGCATTAAAAGGGAGCCCCAGGTGTCCCTCTTAGCTCCCTCCCTCCTCACATTCAAAGTCTCGCCACCACTGCTGAATTCTCTGTGATGAATCTCATTATTCCTCCTATCTCTGTGTATGTCAATTACCCTCATCTGGCCCAGATGCCAGGTCATCTGGCATCTTCTTCACTCTGACCCCTTTACAACTCTCATAGCCCTTATTCAACCGAATCTTCTATCCCTCCCAGCTCCTGGGGCCATTTCTACATGGCCCTTTGCGAGTCACAGTGCATCCTAAAAAAAAAATCCTGTAAAATCCTTATGTCCTCAGGCTGTGTCTGAATGGCCCTTTCTTTTTCTTGCTTTAGCTATCATCTGACTCTCCCCTGAGGATTTTTTCCAGTAGACCTCTTTTCTCCCACAGTTCTTGTAACACTTGGATGTCTAAGCAGCATCTCAAGGCTAATATGCCCTAAACAACTCCTAATCTTCCCCCACAAAACTCCTTTACCACTGATGTTCGTGTTTTATTGATAGCAACGCCACCCTTCCAGTTGTTAAGGTCAAAAACCTTGGAGTCATTCTGATTCTCTTTTCTGTCACCCCCACATGCCATCTGTAAGGAAATCCTGTTGGCTCTACTTTCAAAATATATAGATTTCAATCTCTCTTGTACTAGCTACATTGGCCCCGTAAGACTAGTACACTGGCATCTTTTTTTTTTTTTAAATAATAAATTTTATTTTTATATTCCCCATACAATTGCAAAAGCCCCATTCTGACCCCAATCCTTCCCTTCCCGCCCCCCACCCCCCAAAAAGTGTCTCTGGTTCATAGTTTTTTGTTGATTTTGATTTTCACTTTCTTATATTCATTTTCCTGGTCCCTTATTTAAGTTTTCTAGATTCCTGCTATGAGTGAGACCATCCGGTATTTTTCTTTTTCTTTTTGGCTTATTTCACTGAGCATGATCCCTTCCAGCGCCATCCATGTTGCTGCAAATTGCATGTGTTTATCTTTTTTGAATGCTGAGTAATATTCCATGGTATATATGTACCACATCTTCTTGATCCAGTCATCTATTTTTGGGCATTTGGGTTGTTTCCAAAGCTTAGCTATTGTAAACAGTGCTGCTATAAACATAGGGGTGCAGGTGTTCTTTGGAATTGATGTTTCTGTGTCCTTTGGGTAAATACCTAGGAGTGCAATTGCTGGATCCTATGGAAGCTCTATGTTTAGTAGGTCCAGAAATCTCCACACAGCTCTCCATAGTGGTTGGACCAGTTTGTACTCCCACCAACAGTGCAGAAGAGTTCCTTTTTCTCCACACCCTCGCCAACATTTGTTGTTGCTAGTTTTTTTAATATGTGCCATTCTCACTAGTGTGAGATGGTATCTCATGGTAGTTTTGATTTGCATTTCCCTGATTACAAGTAATGTTGAACATTTTTTCATATGTCTGTTGGCCATTTGCATTTCCTCTTCAGAGAAGTTTCTTTTTAGCTCTTCTGCCCATTTTTTGACTGGATTATTTTCTTTGTTGTTGCTGAGTCTCATCAGCTCTTTGCAGATTTTTGTGATCAGTCCTTTATCATTAGTGTTGGGTACAAAAAATGTTCTCCCAGTTGGTGGGGTTTCTCTTTGTTTTTGTTATTGTCTCTTTTGCTGTGCAGAAGCTCTTTAATTTGATGTAGTCCCAGCTGTTTATCTTTGCCTTCACTATCACTGCTTTGGGTGATGTGTCTGTAAAGATGTCTTTGATGTGCAAATCCCGTAGTGTTTCGCCTATATTTCCTTCTATGTATTTTATGGTTTCAGGTCTTATGTCTAGTTCTTTAATCCATTTTGAGTTGATTTTTGTGTATGGTGTGAGGTAGTGGTCAAGCTTCATTCTTTTGCATGTAGCGACCCAGTTTTCCCAGCACCATTTATTGAACAAACTTTCTTTGCTCCAATGCATAGTCTTTGCTCCTTTGTCAAAGATTAGTTGACCATAAATCTGTGGGTTTATTTCTGGATTTTCTATTCAATTCCATTGGTCTGTATGTCTGTTCTTGTTCCAATACCATGCAGTTTTGATGATTATGGCTTTGTAGTATAGTTTGAAATCTGGGAGTGTGATGCCTCCATTTCCTTCTTTTTTTTTCAGTAGAGCTTTGGCTATTCGGGGTTTTTGGTGATTCCATATGAATTTCATCAATAATTGTTCTATTTCTTTGAAGAATGACATTGAAATTTTGATTGGAATAGCATTGAATCTGTATATTGCTTTTGGTAGGATGGCCATTTTAATAATGTTTATTCTTCCAATCCATGAGCAAGGGATGTCTTTCCATTTCTTTATGTCTTCTTCTATTTCTTTTAACAGTGTTTTATAGTTTTCTTTGTATAGGTCCTTTACCTCTTTTGTTAGATTTATTCCCAAATATTTGATTTTTTTTGTTTCGATAATAAAAGGGATGGTTTTTTTGATTTCTTCTTCTTCAGATTTGTTGTTTGTGTATAGGAAGGCTACTGACTTTTGCGTGTTGATTTTGTATCCTGCCACTTTACTGAATTGATTGATGAGTTGAATTAGTTTTTCTGTGGAGATTTTGGGGTTCTCTATGTATATTATCATATCATCTGCAAATAGTGATAGTTTGACTTCTTCTTTTCCTATTTGGATTCCTTGGATGTCTTTCTCTTGTCTTATTGCTCTGGCTAGGACTTCCAGTATTATATTGAAAAGCAGTGGTGAGAGTGGACATCCTTGTCTTATTCCAGATCTTAATGGAATTGCTTTCAGCTTTTCACCATTGAGAATGATACTGGCTGTTGGCTTGTCATAGATGGCCTTTATGATGTTGAGGTATGTTCCTTGTATCCCAAGAATTTCAAGGGCTTTTATCATGAATGGGTGTTGCACTTTTACACTGGCATCTTTTAAAGTCTCCGTGCTGCCACCTGAGTCTATGGCACCTTCCTGGATTCTATTCTTAGCCATTCAGGTGAGCAATTCCTTCCATACCTAAGTCAGTCTTGTCACCAGCACTCTGGTAGAAGCCTTCCAAAGAGTGCCTGCTTTAACAGCAACAGTACCAGCCAAAGTCCTAGAATTGACCTACCAGATGTCCCAGGATCTGGTCTCTTGGCCCATCAGAATCTCCTCGACTCTTTCTGAATTACTCTTTTCTGACCATTTTTTCACTCCCAGTATTCCCAGGAAGGATTGGCAAGTGCTGTCTACCTTAGGATATTTGAATGTTTCCTCTGCTTGAAACACTTGTTCCAAACACTTATTCCACCTTCACCCTCACCTAAACCTCCCAGTTCCCCTCCCCAGCTCTATGTTTTCTCCTAGTTCTCATTCCTTCCAACATCTATGTAATTTTCTTATTGATCACACCTTTAGCCCCCACCCTCCATGAGAATGTAATGGCAGAGGTTGGAACCTTTGCTTGTTTTGCTCAGAGAGGTATCCCAAGTGCCTGCCTACAACACAGGACTGATTCCTGATCATCTCCCACAAACCTGCTCTACCACAGATGCCCACCTTGGTTGAAGACAACTCCATCCTTCCGGTGGCTCAGGCCAAAAACATTGGAGGCATTCTTGACTCCATTTTCTATTACACCTACATCTAATCAGTCAGGAAGTCTTGCTGGCTCCACCTTCAAAGTAATTGCTCAATAATTTCATGTTGAAAGGACTGATTGATCCTTGTGAAGTTGGCTAACATGATGACCCAGTCCCAATAAAATACCATGACCAAATCCCACTATCCTTTTACTTATCCCACACATGGATATCTCATTAATTACATGCATATACCTGGGTAGTCTTTATATTAATTTTGAACCTACTTTTGTCTCACTTGATTTCTACTTTGGATAGACTTTGGATAGAACTTCCTAATTATAGAAATTATGTGCAAAATACTTCACTAATCTTTTAAGTCCAGTTCAGTTCTAGCTAGGAGGGATCAGTTAGTATTAGTTGATCACATTTCACAATTCAAGTTCTAGCAGTCCAAGCTAGAACTTGGAGTTCTTGAGACCCTCTTAAAAAGTCAATTCAATTCAACAAAAAAATGTATTATATGACTATTCTGTTGAATGCTGCAAATGACAGAACACACAACCCTCAAGACCCACATGGTCTGATACAGACCACAGTCACTTGAATAATTTCAATACAGGATGATAAGTAGAATCTGAGAATTGCTATAAGGTGGGAGTTATTCACCTTAGCAAGCCAGAGAAAGGCAAGGGAACACAGTCATTATCAGGAATGTGGTGTGGTTAACACCATCCCAAGCAGGAAAATATTGATAAGGAATTTATTTGTTGTTAAACTTCTGTTATTTGTTATTGGTGATGCTGCTTTTGGCTCTAGGAGAGCAGATGGGGAGGAGGTATTCAGTTCACAGACCAGAACACAGATTTTGGATAAGTTTGAAATGTTTCCAAAGTCCCTTGCAAAACTTTAATATATGATGACTCAAATGATCAAAAAAGAACTATATTAATTTAGTCAAGTTTTGACTCAGAAGCTTTCAGCAAGATTTGCATGAATAATACTATTTCATGTGTCTGATGCCAAAACTGAAATATTAATAGACTTGTTAAGATTTAAATCTAATCATAAACATGTCTCCAAGATAAGATGCATGGTAATTAGAAGAAAAATTAAGCTGGAGCTGTTTCTTTCGGTGAACCATTAGAACTGTGAACAGCTACAATCTGTTTTTTTTTCCTTGAAAGTAAATCACGAAACACCAAAGAACAAAATGGCCTGTACCCACACAACTGCCTGGGTATAATTTTGTTTTAAGAAATTTTGATAACTTTTTATGGAAACCTTTGCCTCTGGGATCTGGGATCTGTAAATTAATCTAGGCATTGCTGTTTCAACTGGCCAGAGTAAATATATCCATTTTTGCACAAAACTAAAAATAAACAACACATTTCATTTTCTTTGGGAATAGTGTACTTCTTTTGACATTCCTTAAGCTATTCTTATAAATAGAATTGTATTTGAGTGCTAACTCTAACACATACCAGGCAATTATCTCCAAGAGCCTGTTTCCCTACCTGAAACTAGAAATAACATGACTTGCCTTATCCACAAAGTATTTCTGAGGCACAAATTAGACTTGAAAGCACATCATAATACTGAAATATCATCTACAAACAAAAACTGGTATATACAGGGTCATAGGAACATTACTCATAATAATCACAATTGATAATAATAAACTCAAATGTCCACCAAGTGGTGGATGGATAAACAAAATGGAGTGTGAGCTATAAAATGGAATATTATTTGGTGACCAAAAAGGATGAAGTTTTGATTCATGTCACAAAATGCATCAACCTTGTAGATTAGAAGTTGCAGGGTTGGAGAAAGAGGACTGGAGAGTCACTGCTCACAGGCACAAGGGTGATGGAGATGTTTTGAGATGAGATCCTGGTGATGGCTGCACAACTCATGAATATACTAGAAACCACTGAATTTTTCATATTAAAGGGTGAATTTATGGAACATGGATTACATCTCAATTTTATAAATTATACAAGTACGATATACAAATACTGAGTTGTTATTGTCAGGATTTAGAAGTCTCTTTATTTTCAGATTAAGGTGCCTTCCCTGAGAGCTCCCCCAAAATCTCCTTCTAAAGTACTCAGACCTAAACCACCAGATTTGTGGATAATAACCTTCGAGAAAACAATGGGTACTTAAAAGAAAGCAGGATGGAGGGAAGGGTTGGAGTTCATACATTCAACCTCATCATCCAGTCACAACTTCTTTTTCTTCTATAAATTAAACATGATGGAGAGAAGAGGTTGACACTTCTTTCACTAATACTGTGTCCTTAGGGGTTCTATATTGCATCTTTTTTTTAAAGATTTATTTATTTATTTATACAAGCACTGGGTACAGTCAGAAATGTGGGAGGGTGAGAGAATTCACCAGAGCCAGAGCGGGGAACAGAACAGGCAGACTGACAAAATACACTGCTGAGGGGAGCAGTGGGCGTGGCAGGAGAGGTCTGTCGCACCATGTGGGACCCTCGCCGGTGGCCAGGGATCGAACCAGTAGTGCTGGCAGCTTCGCAGCCCAGCGCTCAACCGCTGCACCACCAAGGGAGGCCCTCAATATTGCATCTTTTAACTCAAAACTGCAGTTAGTGCTTAGTTGGGGCCAGTGATTTCACCTAGATTAAAAAAAAAAAAAAGTGTGTGTGCATGTGTGTGAGAAAAATGATAGTATGACCATGGCCTTGTCTTCCAGCCATGAATATTCACCAAGTTCTTACCATTTCATACATTTTTGAAGACTTTTTCTTAATACCTACAAATTCTGACTGGAAAATTCTAAAAGTCTGTCAGTAGAAGATAAACAATGAAATGATAATACCAAAACACTTAACATTAAAATGTTTTAATTTTACATTATCATCTCAAATGTGGCATTAATATTTATTTCCCACCCACAAACTATTTTCAAATAAAAGGGGATATAATTTTATTTTGTTTGCTCATTTTGTAAGAACAATAAAAGAAAATACATCACATCAAAAAGGAAGTTCAGTATAATCACAATGTGAGTTTTTGAGAGGATTAATTTGTTATTGAATTGACTATTGTTTTACCACCCCACGATATAGCATGGAGCAATAAATATAAAACAAGAATTTTAGTGAGCTCTTATTTTTTTAAAAGATTTATTTTATTTATTTATGCATGCAAGAACTAGGGTACAGGCCAGAGTTGTGGGGGGTGAGAGGATTCACCAGAGAGAGAGAGTGGGGAGCAGAACAGGCAGATACACTGCAATATACTGCTGAGGGGAATAGCAGGCAAGATAGGAGAGGTCATATTTTTAATCATTTCTTACTATTCTTTTGATTATTTAATGTGTGAAAATGGAATAAAAAACAGCACATGTAAGATACTCCCATTTTCATTTTATTTAGTGTATTAAACCCAAAAATCAAAAGAGCTATGGAGGCTGTTAAAAGTCACTGTCTCCAAGATTTGGATGATGGTGGTCTTAGCTTTGGGCTTACCTGTATTTTCTGACTTTCCTGTAGTAAAAATGTCACAAAAGATGGAGTATCTTTATAACAATAGAAAAGAAGATATTTGTAAGTAAAAAACACTATCTTTGCTTTAGTTTAATTTTACCAGAAGTTGCCCTCCAAAATAAAGCCAGCTTCTCCATGAGTTTAGGAAGATTGATTAAAAACGCAGACAAAACAAGACAATTTGGTCAATCTTAGCAAAATGCATAAAAAGTAACCCCTCTTAGAGATAGAAACGCGTTAATGTTGCATGACTTGATTGATCCTTTTTCAGCTTTTTTGGTCATCATTAGGGCTCAGAACTAACTTAAACTTCCAGAAAAGGAGCTGATTGTTGACAAAGTCTAATGGAAACAGATGCAGGCAGTGAGCACACATGCAAATATGCAAATAAATTGGCAGTGGGAGTTTTATTCTTTTTTTTTTGTTTTTTTTGGATTTTTTTTTAAAGATTTATTTATTTATACAAGCACTGGGTACAGTCAGAAGCACGGGAGGGTGAGAGAATTCACTAGAGCCAGAGCGGGGAGCAGAGCAGACAGAAGGACCGAAATACACTGCTGAGGGGAGCAGCGGGCGGCAGGAGAGGTCTGCGCGCCATGTGGGACCCTCGCCCGGTGGCCGGGGAGCAGCCGGGGATCGAACCCGCACTGCAGAGGCTGCGAGCAGCTTCGCAGCGCTCAACCGCTGCGCCACCGGGGAGGCCCAGTGGGAGTTTTATTCTAACCGTACTTTCACCTATGTGGCACCCTTGATGGGTGCATCAGGGAGAGTAATGGTCCTATTTTGCAGACAGGAAATGTGAGGCTTGAAGTTGTCAGGAAGCGTAGAATCCTAGACTCCATAGCAGGGCACCTTCATCCTTTCCTCCACTTCTCATAAAAGAGCTGCTGTTCCTGGCTATTCTCATTGCACTCATGACCTTCCATGCAGTTCCAAGACAATACTCACTGTGTTCCTCCAGAAGAAAAGGCAGATTATATAGACCGTGGAGTAGACTTTTTCATTCTTTGTCCCTCTGAGGTACTCCTTGTGTGCAGGACGATTCTTCTGGAGCCCAGGAGCCCACGAGGAGGCCTCTGCTTGACCAGATGGTGGCCTCGAGGGTAAAGGACAGGCAGAGCTATGCGACTGTCCTCACACATCCTTGCCCGAAGTCACCATGCACTACGCACTGCTTGGAGAATTAAGTCAAAGCTTGGAAATGATACCGAAGATGTGCAGAAACATCTGGTCCGGGAGACATCATGTTTTGTTTTGTTTTAATTGACTCTGAGGATCTTTAGGCGAGCCTCATCACAACCCCAGCTGTCTTACACTTGACTGCCTCTGGTGTTTAAAATATACCTGTGGCCCCAATGGCATTTGAATATGCAGCTCCTGCAGCAGGTTCTTACTCTAGGTTGCTGGTGTTTATCTCCAAAGCAGCACGGGTGAGGGAGAGATGTGGGATGGAAGATTGTGCCCTCGCCCAGATGCTGGGTCCCCTTCCCCCGCTATGTCTAAGATTTCATGGTTCTGTTTCGGGGGTGGGAGATCTGCCCCAGCCGGAACCATCTCAAGCTTTCAGAGGATGCCCACCTGGATCTCCCCACCTGGTTCCCCCTTGTCTCCTATGTCCTTGCTCTCCCTTTAGCCCTGTCCCTAAAAATATCCCACACCCTTACCTTTCCCAGTACTTCCCTCCCCCCACCCTGGAGAATGAATTAAGTACATTCCACCATCCCAGGCATTGAGTGCCAACAATAATAATACTAGTAGTTAGTGTGGATGGTCTGTATGCCAATCGCCATGTGCCAAGAGCATGACTGTTGGATTTGATGTTCAAGAGAACTATTAACCCTGTTTCCTGCATGAGGAAGCTGAAGCTCCAGGCATGGAAGGACTTTCCCATCCTACAAGCTGCAGGTTCCAATCAGGTCACCGGTCCCGGACTCTTAGCCACATCACTTCTGCTTGCTCCTGCAGTCGAACAGCATCTGCTGCTGTGAACAGGAGTGGGCTGTTTCCTGACTTAAGCTAAAAAGCTGACTCTAAAGAGAGGAAGAACTAGACAGGGGAGTAGAAGAGAGGAAAATGCTTTCTTCCAGGCAGCAGTTCCCCCACCCACCCTCTCCTCTGCTGACAAGTAAGACTAAATCCATTGACCAACACAGAGTTCATTTCCTTCAAATTTGGTCTGGACTATAGGATAGAAATTCATTCTTCCCAGTAACATAACTTTGACTTGACTTCTTGTGCAATAATAATATCTCATTCTTATTAGGCCTAGGAGGCATTCACCCTGACTTTCCCAAGATCACACCATGAAGCATCCACGTGAACTAGACTGTGACAAAAGCAAGGCCCAAATCACCTTTCTCAAGAGAGAAGGGGGAAGGAAAGGGATAAGGTAGGGGAGAATGTCTATGTCCCCTTTCGAGGTTTAATATATGATAAATTTTGATCAAACTTGGATGCCTCTTTAATATTATATCTTTAAAACACTACATAAAAGGAGGAAAAAAGACAACTAGAAAATGCATCCAGACAGAGGATCCCAGGGATCCAGGAATACCTACAGATCTCAAACCTGGCTCTCTCTCTCTTTGCATCATGAGAAACTGGCAGCTTTCACAGAGGCACAGTGGGGGCCAACTAAGTGACCCAGGAATTCCCCCACATGATGATAACTACAGAGGCTTATAAAAGTTAAATAAATGTATAAGAAAAATAAATAAGGCATACATGCCCTCATACATTTGTAATGTATTCAGGGCAGAAATCCATTTAAAGCTAATTGCTCAGCAAATTAACAGACTAACTGAATTGCCCAGAAATTGTTATTTAGTATGGGTAATATAATGCAGTGTGTTAAATACAAACTATCATTGACCCTAGAGGAACTTTTATTTAAGAAGGGGGAGAAATTATGCCTTAGAGCATTCATTTTTCAAGCTCTCCACCATCTGTTTGGGTGAAAGACTATATAAAGGCCAGTAATCACCATTATCACTAATTATCTGTCACCAGAAATCTTTTTCAGTTTACCATTAGCATTAAATTTGAAGCAAGAAGCAGGCTCATTAAATCCAGAGTAGATTTTTATTTTCTCTGGAGACAAGTAGTTTACAAAACACTTTTGATATTCTATTGTGAACTCGAAGTCCAAAAATATAGGCTTTAAGCCATCTGTACCTCTGTGGGTGGAACTTTCAATGATCCTTGGACTCGCAGGGCTGGTACATCTGGTCTTAGCTGTGTTGTAGCTGCAAGACCAGGTACCAGGAGACTCTAGTAGCTATTGGAGAAGGAAAGGTAAAGACTAAGAGCCGGTGGGGTTGTGGGGGGAGTTGCCCCTGGAGCAATGCCAAAGGTCTTGTGACTCTGAGATTCACTAAGTCTAAGCCCTGAAGTAAAAAGGCAAGATATGTCTACTAGACAATGAATAAAATCTCAATTCACCTACCCTGTCCCATTCACACAAACACTTAACCCAGATTTGCGCCTGCAAAAGCTGTAAGTGGTGGTGGTTGTAGTCTATAGTTGTTGTAGAACAGTCCTTGGATTCCTGGCATGATTTTTTTCATTAAATTGCTTCTTGTGATCTATTCACTTTATTCAAAAGAGTTGGGATATCAGATAGTCTTTTTCACTAATTTACTAAGCAAATTCTTGTTCTGGTTGTGTTATGTCTAGATTACTGCACTTTATGACTTGATTTCCCTTTCAACACACTGTAAAATCAAATTAGCCTGCTGCTTGACTGTGGTATGTAGGGCTTACCCAGGAACCAAATAGTATTTTCTAGAAAAGCACAGCAACATTTTTCCATGGTGTATCCTTCAATATTTCAGGCACCCTGAAAAGTCTAAATGCCTCAGTCTACTGCTTAATGCCTTCAAAAATTCACTGCCACCCGATATTTCCAAAGTTATTACTGAATAGTCCCATGCACAAGCCTTTAACTAAATCCAGACTACATAATCATCCCTGGAACTGAGAGTTAAATTAATCTAAAAAAATTGTGTAATTTTTATGTAAAATACCTCCTTTCTATACCTATTTGTCTTTCCCACTTCCAGTAGTTAATTTCTTCCACAGTCTACTCATCATTTGAAGCTATTGTAGATAAGATTTTGGAAATGTGTCTTCCCAAACTCCCTTTCCTAGGACCTGCCATGATCCATCCCACCTCACGAGGACGCCTAAAGAACCAGGTATAGGTGTCTGCATTATATCATATGTTCTCATTCCTACTCTCAGCTGGATAAAATGTTGGGTACATAGGAGACTCAGACACTGCCGATCAGATTCTTTTCCTTGAAATCATTTGACTATATGATAAATAACACAAAATTAATTCAACTTAGAAAGCTGTGTGAAAACTCATCTAGAGTCTATTCTGGAGTCACTATCATGTCCATCCAAAGTTATGTACAAGATCAAGTTATAGAGGATCCGAATCCAAGAGTGAGCAAAGAAAGTCTATTTGCCAGACAAAGAGCATGCTTGCAAAATCCAGCAGAGAAGAATAATGCAGCCACTGAAAGAAAAAGCAACATGGTCCTTGGCAGCTCCCCAGCCTGCAGCTCCATTCCCAGCTGTATCTCATTTATGTGAGGGCTCTAGAGCCTAAAAATAAATCTCCCTTTCAATTGGAATTAATTCGAGTGGGTTTCTGTCCCTTACAACCATTGAGTTTTGCCTTAAACCCAGTTCAGATGACAACTCTTCTCTATCTTCCATCTGCCATGGCAAACATCCCAGCTGGAGCAACTCTTGTCTTGCTGTGCTGCCTCATCATGGCCTGTCTCCTTTTCTCTTCTCACTGCCTTCTAGTCACTGATCTCTTCTTAAAGGGCAGCCCCATCCCTGACCCCACTCATACACCTTGTTTTACTATCTGAAAAGCAAGAAGCCCTGATCCATCATGGAGCTGTGATGGCAGGCGTCGCATTAGTCTTTAGCTTGTTTCTATGACCAAACTTCCATCTTTGACCTTGCTTTGATAATTTGGAATATGACAGTCTCCTAAGTTGATCCTCCCTTACTCTGACCATTTGTTTTCCGAGAGTCCATCTCTAAGGGAGGAACTCTGCTAGATCTCCCTAAACTTAGTAACCTTTTGATACTAGAGCAGTGATTCTCAGCTGAGATGGCGGACATGATTTGCCCCTTCTGGCACATCAGCTGTTACCACAAGATGATGCAGGAGGGTTCCATCAGCACCCAGTGGGCAGAGACTGGAGTGCTGATCCAAAACACCAATGATGTTAAAGTTGAGAAACTCCCAGGTACTGGACAGATGACCTTGAGCAAGTTTTTTAACAGTGCTATGCTTCAGAATTTATGTGAGTACCTAGATGAGTTACAGATAGATTTCTTGTGGGGTTATCACCGCATCTAACTCAGTGGCTTCAGAACCTTGAGTACTTTGTGATAATGGTGCTTAAACAATGGAAAAAACTTGGTGATATTGATGTCATTATCCATTCCTTCCTCATCCTACCAATATTTTAGGTTAGAAAATGTCTTCACAGTGTGAATTCTATGTTTACTTACCAAACATCTCAGAATTCTAAAGGTTTTCATCATATACTTTTCTTGATTTTTTAATAGGATTTAAGATTTATTTATTTATGCATACAAGAACTGGGGTACAGGCCAGAGGTACGGGGGGGTGAGAGGATTCACCAGAGACAGAGTGGGGAACAGAACAGGCAGATTGACTGAAATACACTGCTGAGGGGAGCAGCGGGGAGACAGGAGAGGTCTGCTGCGCCATGTGGTCACCTCCCTGGCCAGGGATTGAACTCATGCTGCAGTGGCTGCAGATAGCATCATAGGTTGCATCTTAACCCCGTGCGCCACCAGGGAGGCCCACAATAGGACTTTCAATAATTTTGTTTTCATAGTGGGGAAATATAATAGCATAAGATTTACCATCTTAAACATTTTGAAGTGTACGTTCAGTGGTATTAAATGCATCTGAATTGTGCACCCCTCCCCAATCCTCCATCTCCAGAATCTTTTCATCTTACAGAATTGAAGCCCTATACCCACTACTTGATAACTTCTCACTCCTTCCTCCCTCCATCCCTGGCAGCCACCATTCAACTTTCTGCCTCCTTGAATTCAACGCATCTAGGTACTCACATCAATGAAATCAGATACACTTGTCTTTTTATGACAGGCTTATTGTACTTATCATAAAATCTTCAAGGCCATCCACAACCCAACATGTATCAGCATTTCCTTCCTTTTTAGTCTCAAATAATAATCTTCTATATGTATTTATCACGTTGCTTTATCCATGCTCTGTCAGTGAACACTAGAGCTGCTTCCACATTTTAATTATTGTGACTAAGGTGCTATGATTGTGGTTGCACAAATACCTCTTGACTAGATCCTGCTTTCAATTCTTTTGGGTATATAGCCAGAAATTGAATTGCTGGATTAGAGGATAAGTCTATTTTTAAATTTTGCAAGGATCTGCAACACCAATATTCACAGTAGTGTTCGTATTATAATCCCACCAAGAGAGCACAGAATCCCAATTCCATATCCTTACCAACACTTGTTATTTTCTGCATTTTTTTTTTTTTTTTTACTTTTGGTAACAAAAGAAAGGTGTGTGTGGTATCCAAGGGTGGTATCTCATTGTGGTTTTGATGTGCATTTTACCTAATGATTTGTGATATCAATCATCTTTTCATGTGCTTATTGGTCCTTTGCCTATCTTTGGTGAAATATCTGTTCAAGTCCTTTGCCAACTTAGGCATTACTGAGTTGTTTGGCTTTTTGTTGTTGGGTTCTAGATGTGCTCTATATAAATTGTATAATAAGTCCTTACCAGATATGTGATTTGCAATTATTTCTATGAATTATCTTTTTACTCTGCTAATAGTATCTTTTTGCTACACAAAACTTTTTATGTTCTTGAAGTCCAATTTGTCTATTTTTTCTTTTCTTGTTTGTGTGTCTCTTTGTCATATCCAAGCAATCATTGCCAAATCCAAAGTCAGGAAGCTTTCGTCCTGTTTTCTTCAAAGAGTTACATAGTTTACTCATATTCTTCTTTAATTTGTATTTCAGACTTTATTTTTCCATAAAGAGTCTGCAGCCTAAACATGTCCCAGGTAAAATACACACAGGCATATTACTCATCCCCAAAACCAAAAGGTAATTATCTATTGGGCCTGCACATGTGTATACCTCTGCACTCCATCAAATGTGTTAGGATACCACTTGCAGCAAAAAAAAGAAGAGCCACATAACTCTGGTACAGGAAAATACAGGTATATTAGATAGGGTAGGGGGATTGGTAAACAAGCAGACTTAAAATGTATAGCTGTTTAAACAAAAAGACGTTTATTTCTTGCTTAGGTAATATCCAAAACAAACATTTCTGACTGAGAGCAGCCTTTCCTCAAAGTTATGACTCAAAGCCCAGCTCCTTCCTTTGTATGATCATTAACAGGCTCCAAGTGCATTTGCATCAAACTGGTGAAAAGGGACAGACAGAATGAAAAATCACATGTATTTCTTATACCTTGGTTTGGAAAGGACAGACATACCTTCTGCTCCCAAGTCTTTGGCAATACCTAGTCAAGTGTAGCTGAGAAATGAAGCCCAGAGAGCAAAGCTGCTTTCCAGTGATTGCGCTATCTCTGTCATCCAAGATAGTGGCTGCAAGTCACAGTGGCATTGGGCACTTCCTGGATACAGTTCATCCAAACTGAGATGTATCATAATTGTAAAATGTGTGCCAGACTCAGGTGACTTCCCTGAAAATCAGAATGCAAATAATTTTTATATTGATGACATCATGAAATGGCAATATATGATAGCTATATTGATTAAACTAAATATATAGAGTTAATTTTTTTAAAAGATTTATTTATTTATTTATACAAGCACTGGGTACAGTCAGAAGCATGGGAAGGTGAGAGAATTCACCAGAGCCAGAGTGGGGAGCAGAACAAGCAGACTGACGAAGTACACTGCTGAGGGGAGCAGCGGGCGATGCAGGAGAGGTCTGTCACACCATGCGGGACCCTCATCAGCAGCCGGGGATCGAACCGGTGCTGCAGAGGCTACGGGCAACTTTGCAGCCCAGTGCTCAACTGCTGTGCCACCAGGGGAGGCCCCTATTAGAGTTAATTTTACCTGTCTCTTTTTTACTATGGCTATTAGAAAATTTTAAATTATATATATGGCTTGTATTCTATTTCTATCGGATAGCACTGCCATGGAAATTAGCCTTCTCTGTTACACAGATTATCTTATTGAATAGAGATCAGAAGTACATCTGGACCACCCCCAAATCACAAGAAATAGGAAAGCCTTCTGGAATCAAGATGAGAGCGCGCTCTCTCTCTCTCTCACTCTCTCTCTCTCTGTGTCTCTCTCTCTCTCACCCCCCCCCAACTTTACTCTTCTTTGTCTCTCTGTCTCTTTCATCTCTACTCCAACCAGCTGTGGTCAGGAGGGTGTGGTCAAATGGCTTGCTTCCCACTCATTTAGAAGCAATGGGAACAAGTTCTCAGGAAGGGGCACAGGCAGGTCAGACCAATTGACTGACATGTTTGCTCAGCATGTAAAATGTGTAAACACTGCATGGGCTTGGCAGCTGTCAACATTCCCGAGTTTTTACACTTAATAGGCTGTATTTGCTTGAGGCCTTTTGTAAGAACCCTGCTTTGAATAGGTGACAAATTTAATCTAAGGGTATACTGTTTAACTCATGTCATCACTAAAGAAAACATGTAACCCATCTTTCTGTCTGGGACTTGTACCAATTCCCAGAAATAGTCAACCTTGCTGACAAATCTTAAACTTCCAACAGTGTACCTTGGGCTCAATGTATAGCCTGTAACTTCATAGGCCCACAGGATCAGGGTCACCAAATCATACACAGAAATGACATGAGGGTGCAAAGTTAAATGGAAGTTATACCCCCCAAATACAGCTCTCCTATAGGGCTGCAAATTTTACTTTCAGTGTCATTCTTAAGAGTTTAAGAAATATCTGTAAGTGGCATATATATATATAAAACATTCACATATATAATTAATCATATTCAATATATATTCATATTCAATATATATGTAATTAATCACAAGTTAATTGTTAAAATTAACTTCATTTGTTTCTTTTTAGTTTTCTAAATTATGGCTACTAGAAAATTTTAACTACATATGTGGCATATATGTATGTGTATTTATATAAATGCATGCATAAATAGAGCATCAAAAATAGAGCTGGCATTATAATTTGGTTTTTACTAATGAAAGAGAAACTTAAGACCCAGGTAGTTGCAGTGCTTGAAAGAGCATATATCTCTGATGAAATTAGAGGGTTAGAGGACATTCATGAGTATGTGCTGCTTACTTTAACTATGAAATCTAGAGCTGGAATTCTGTACTTTGACTTTAAGTCTATAAACTTGCAACTGTAATTTATCTTTCACTCCTATATAGTCCTCAGATCTCATTTCAAATGTCCCTTCTTTCTGAAAGCCCTCCCTCCACTTACCAGGCTGGGTCAGGATTCCCTAGCACAAATTTTCATAGTATCTGATCATTTCTTCCATGATACTTACCACCATTGTCTTTCATGGACATTTTTAGTGGTGTTATTTGATCACTATTTTGTCTTCATGGCCAAAAAGTATGTTGTTTTACCACAATATTTGTGGACCTTAGCATACATCGACACACAATAACTATCAAAGCACTCATGAGTAAAGAAACAAATATTAAATTTTTCTAAGTGGAGTTTAAGCTCCTGGAATATATTCAAAGGAAAGGTAAGAATAAAAATTCATTTTCAGAGGATTTAGATTTGTTCACAGTTCAGAAGAATTTTAAAAATTTAACTAGACATTGCAAAGAGAATTCAATCATTACATTATTTTTATAATTACATATATACACTAAGAAATATTTAAAACACTAAATATTCACAAATATGTGATATAATTTGAACTTATTTTTATCTATTTTATACTTTTTAAAGTGAAAACACACTTTTTCATTAATTTCATTAATTTTTCCTCCTCAATAGCCTGGGTATCCTACATTTAAAATAAACATATTTGATTTCTGTTATCTATAGCAATTTCTATTATCTATCAGCAATAAACTGATGTTGAGCAAGGGAAAAAATTGCAAGGAAAATCAAAAAATAAAAATAACATTAAAGTATATATATTCTTAAGTATATAGGAAACTTTATCATACCTCCTACTTAGAAAAGATTTATAGGGCAGTAAGACATCAAAAAAAAAAAAACATTTTTTAAAAGTTGACTAATGGAAGAGAAGAAAGTTTACAGGTTTTTCCAGCTCTTCTTGGTCCATAATAAAAATTAAACGCCATTTAATAGCTTTCAAATGTAAGATATTTAAATAGAGAAAAAAGCAGTGGCTAAAAATAAAATGTGTCATTAAAACTATCAAAATTTTGACCATGTATCTGAGACACTCAGGAGGGGAAGAGGAGAGGGTGCAAGGGGGAATAGAGAACAGGGAACCGGGAAGGGAGCACAGTGGAAGGTGCCAGGGGCATTTTGATGGTGGAAAGGTATAGTCACCGCACCGGAGGGGAGAAATCCTGTGCTGTGAAAAAATAAGAAGGATGTTTAAAAAATAAAACTATCAGAATTTTGATGTGGAAGACTATGGTCTTTTCTTTCAACCTTAATTCTGATAAAATATTTATAGAAAAATGATAAATTTTTTCATATGCACACATCTATGTTGCACTAAGATAAGCATAGACAAAGAAAGAATATGTAAATGAGCAACCACAAAAATGAAAAATTAATATTGGGGAAAGTCCTCAGACAATTTCCTTTCTTTTTTTATTTTTATTTTTTTTCAAAGATTTATTTATATATACAAGCACTGGGGTACAGGCCAGAGGCACAGGAGGGTGAGAGAATCTACCAGAGACAGAGTGGGGTACAGTTCAGGCAGAAGGACGGAAACACACTGCTGAGGAGGGCAGCAGGCAAGACAGGAGAGGTCTGCCTCGCCATGTGGGTATCTCCCTAGCTGGGCGGGATTCAAACCAGTGCTGCAGACGCTGCAGACAGCTTCACAGCGCTGCACTCAACCCACAGTGCCACGGGGGAGGCTCACAATTTCCTTTCTGTAAGGACATAGGTAATTTCTGAAAATGTGATCTTTAAATAAAAGGATAAAGATTAAACCAGAGAAAGAGGAGGATTTTTTTGGGAACATAAAGAGATTGGAGGTCAGGGCTGTTCCTACATGAGGAAGCTCACAAATCTACAGACCACAGCAGATTTGGTTTCCACAAACGAGTCTCTTCCCTGGTAAATTATATTTTCCTGTTCATGTTGTTTAGCTTAAGAGAGAATTTTACCTTAATCAAAAGTTAAATAGGCTGACTAAAATTCTAGAGTGTTTTGTTTTGATGAATTCCATAGTTAGTATGATGCTGACTTGTAGAAGTCTGACATAAATGATACATAATGTTAGAAAATTGAGTTTAAAATACAATTCTCTTTTATATTCTCATTCCCATAATAGAAGAACAGAAAATTGAGTCTAATGCCGCTCTGTTTCTGACACTTCAAATAAGATTTAATTAGTTTCTCTGACAAAGCAGTAAATCTTTAAATTAAAGAGTTCAGGAGTGCTTAGCCCCGTAAATTCTCTAAGGAAGTTTAAATAGGAATAGTAAGTTTTAAGTACATCTGTCTTGGTCCCTCCCATGTGGCAGCTAGTGTCGGGTCTTGACAAAAGGTGAACACAGATAAACCTAGAATCTCTAGGAATCTCTCTCAGGCATTGAACAACATAGAACTTCATGGTGTTGAGGAATTAGAAGTTAACCTCCAGAATATCAGCAAATGATAGGTAGATAACTATCAATAAATGTCATATTTTTCTATAACAATAGCCAACATTTATGAAAGGGCTTATGAAATGCTATGACCTATTTTAAGTGTTTTATGTGGATTGCTTCTTTAATTCTTCTCTCAACTCCATATGGTTGGTACTATTATTTTTTACATATGAGGAAACTGGATCATAAACAGGTTGAGTAACTTCCTAGGAATATATTGCTAGAAGATTTCTGTAGGTGTGTAAGCTCTATTCCCTTGGGTCTTACTAATGTGGAGCCCATCCAGGCCTCACTTCTAACCATCAGGGCTTGCTGCGTCTCAACTTTGTGTACTTGCAAGATCAGCCAAAAAAAAACCAAAAAAGGGCCTCCCTGGTGGCGCAAGGGGTTAAGCACCGCACTATGAAGCAATCCGCAGCCTCTGCAGCACAAGTTCGATCCCCGGCCGGCCAGGAAGAAACCCATATGGCGCAGCAGACCTCTCCTGTCTCGCCCGCTGCTCCCCTCAGCAGTGTACTTCCGTCAGTCTGCCTGTTCTGTTCCCCACTCTGTCTCTGGTGAATCCTCTCACCCCCCACATCTCTGGCCTATACCCCAGCTCTTGTATGCATAAATAAATCTTTAAAAAAAAAAAAAAAAAAAAAAAAACAAAAAAAAAACAAAAAAAAACCAGACCTAGAGTCTATACCAGCCATATCCCAGAAGCCCTCAATCAATGACAGATAAGATTTGGTATAAAATATCTTAGGTTTCTCACCCCTCAGATAGGATAACTCCTAGGCTCATGTTCTATATTGGCAACTCTCAAGTAGAATTAAATTCTTGTTACCTGAAAATGTATCAATTATAGCTGCTTCTCCACCCCACCTTATTTCCTCAGTCCTCATCAGTGATTACTGAGTCATGAA